GCTCCTGGGGCCTCGGGGGAGATGGGTTACCGTCCTCCGCGAGGGCCTGGAGGGCACTTCTTCCTTCCAAGGCTGTCGATTGCCCAGCAAGGGAAATCGCCTTTTTCAATCTTTCTCATTTGAATACATGAAAATGCGAGTTGATTTTGGCAAGGCGATGCTCTCCCACGGCCAGAGGGACGGTTCTGTCGCCCGCGGGAGAGGCCGGGTGGGGAACAGCTCCGGCTCCGACATCCGGCTGCAGGTGAGCTAGGTCCGCGCCCGGGGCCGCTCAGAAACCTGGCGGCGCTTAGGCAGCAGTAGGGGAAAGGACAAACCCAGTGGCTGTTTTTGTTTGCTTCAACAAAATAAGCGAAAGCTCGGGATATGTTTGTGTGTTGCTTTTACACACACAGACACAGACACGGGCACACGCACAAGCACATGCACACACAGCTGGGAAAGGATATGACTGTACAGAACTGCCTGCAAAGCCCCGTCAAGTAGTCCCAGGGCCTCTACATACTAGAAAGTTGTGAATTGATCCCTTAAAGATTTAAGGATGGAAGGAAGGGAGAGAGGAAGGAAGAAAAATAAAAAGGCAGCGAGGGAACCGAGTTCGAACCCTGGCCCGGCCCTTGCTTCTCCTCTCGCGCTGGGGACCGCTGTCTCTCGGGGCCCTGGCCCCTTCCCCACCTCGGCGCACACGTCCAACTGCGAAGGCCAGGCACACGCAACTGTGACCCCTTGTTTCCAGCGTCTCAGGACTTCCTCACTTCTAAGCTGAGCCGGGTCCCAGTCGGGGTCGGCTTTGAACCGTGTTAACGACCACAGGTCTTAGTTTCATTGCATCCGATTCTCCCTTGCAGAAGAAGGACTTAAGCTTCTTATCTGGGTGGGGGGCGGGGGCCCGCGGGGTAAGTCGGACCACCCCACACCAAGCGTGTCTGGGCCGCTGCGGCCGCCACCTGACAACAACCCCGTCCGGGGAAGGGTAGGCAAGGAAAGCGGGAGGCGAGGCAGCCACAGAGGGAAGCTCTGGTGAGACTCCAGTGGGACCGCAGAGCCCCGCAGGCCCGGGTCCTGCTTTCTGCCCACCCTGCGGTCCTGCTAAATGGCAAAGACCCGGTCGCCGCGAGAGGCCGCCGGCTGGGCCAGAGGCCGGAGTCCGCGGCCTTTCCTTCCACCTTCCGCCGTCGTCGCCCTCTGCTTCTCCCTGCCTGGTGAATATCTGCGGAAGGGGCTCCCAGCCAGATTCTGCTGGGAAGTGTAAGCTGAGGCAGCCCAGCGTGGTCAAAGGACCTAGTGCCACCCGGGCACTGCGGGACTGCGCCAGGAGCAGGCCCCACAGGTGTAGCAGGCGCAGCTTCCGGGAAGGGCGGAGCCGCTTCCTCCGCTGGCGGCCACCTGGAGTACCCGCGCACCCTACCGTCCTCACTGCCGCCGCTAACCTCCACTTGAGGAGCCCGCCCTCTCGGCGACCTGGACGGCTCCAGGCTGTTGCAGACCCGTCCCTACCCAGGCAACTTTAGCCTGGGACACGCCAGGAGACGCCAAGTGTCTGCCTTCGTCGGTTCCCTGCCCTGAGTCCACCCAGCCTCCCCAGAGCTGAAGACAGGCCTGGTTTCCTCCAACGAGCAGCACAATCCTTGCAAAGCACAGTTTGCAATAGTGTAGGTGCCTGTTTGGGAAAAGCGGCTGGAAAAGAACAGCCTGCAGCCGCTGGACTTGGCTACCGACTGGCCAGCAATCCAGACAGCAGCATTAATTTATGTATGTATGTATGTATGTATGTATGTATGTATGCATGCATTTCCAAGTCAAAGACCCAATACGACTCTGCTGATTCGCCTTTAAACTTCGGGGAAAGTGACTGGTTGGCATTTGGGTATACTAGAACTTCACCTCCTAAATTTGTTAGGGGTCTTGCAGTGCGCTCACTGAGATGGAGAGAGTCTGGGAGCTGGCCGAACTGTCATCTCTCCTTCCACCTCGGCCTAGGCTCTAAGAACCTAAATTCCTGGCTGTGGTTTGCCTGCGGAGTTCAACCCACTATCGCCTGGCGGTGCTCCCTGGAGTGCCTGCGGAAAATTTCAGCGATCCCTCTCCACAACAGGAGGCGCTGTGTTTGTGGAGAGGGATCCATCCCCACCCCCTACCCCCGCACCAGGCCGCGAACCTGTGATCCCCGAGCTGGATTAAGGCTCTGAAGCTGACAGAGTCCATTCTGCACCACCGGTCTTGGGCTTTGAAGAAGCCTAGGAGAAATTTCGCTCTGGCCATCACGCTATGAACAGTGGATGTTTTTTTCTTAAGTCAGCTTGTTTTCTTTTTTTTTAAGATTAGACTTAGTAAGTTTGGGAAATGGGCTAAAATAATATTTGATATTGTAATTGAGCCCCCTCCGTAAGGTGACAGTGTTTTTACCCCGCTTAACGCACCAGATTTTTGTGCACCATAAAAGCCATTACTATCTATAAATTGTTACTATTGGTAGAAAATACCCTAGACTTGCTCGATGTTATTGAAGAGCCAAGAGAGTGTTGGAGAATCACCTCCAGAAGGAACAAGGAAGCTCATTAGCACTGAAAGTCCCCCCACCCCCATCAGGCCAAGGAAGCTAAGCATCCGTGTACTTTACAAATGGAACTAAAGTCAGCTGCTGATGGAAACTTTGCACAAAAGCATTAGTTTCTGACACACAATTCGCAGATACATTTACACAAACTGATGGGACAACTTGCAGTTACAGGAGCAGGTTGCAGTAGGGAGGGTTCCTGCCCTACTGAGTTCCAGGTGAAGCTAATTTCATTCATTCCTTTCCTTATGATGTGACATTTCACCCACCACCCTTTTTGAAAAAAAAAAAAAGTTGTAATCCAATGCTTTTATCTTTTTTTATTTCCTTAACTGCACATCTTCACCCTCTCTGCTCCCCTGCTGACTTAAGAGAGTTGTTTGGTTCAGGGACTTAAAGTGATTCTCTTGCCAGATTTCAAGTAAGAGAGATTTAAAAGAACAAAGCACAGGGAAAAAGGTATTTGTTTGGAAGACAAGTTAAAACACATTTCTTAAATTGAGATTAATAGCAGTTTAAAAACTTTGCTAAACAAGAAGATTTTGCGGATTCTTAATTACTTTAGAAAGATTTTATTTTATTGTTACTTAAGGGAACCTAGTGCTTCTACAGGCAGTAGAACACACACAGGGTCACAGACACTCAGAAACTAACACACTCAGTCACACGTGCTCGGAAATACACAAACGATCACACACTCAGAAACACATGCACCATTTCCCAACTTATCACCAAGTCATTGCCTATCACCCAGTCACTTCAGTAGTTCTCTCTGCCATGACAAGTGGGCAATCCGCCACCCACGGCCCCATGAAAGTCAAGAGACTCTGCGTGGGGGAGACTCTCCCACCGACGTCCAGAACCGATTAGGAACCAAGCGAGCCCCTGAGATCCCAGCCCGGTCTCTCCGGTCACAGACAGGATCAAACTCCCCTGCAAGCCATCTCGGGCTTCTGCCTGGAAGCTCTTTCGCAGTGCAGATGCGTTCACGCGCCCGGGCCCTTGCGCTCCCAGCTAATGCGCGTGTTATGGAAGATGTCCCCTCCCCCTGACCTTTTCCTATCAGAAACCAGACGGTCGTCTACAGCTCAGTCCCTGAGGCAGCTGAAGGGGGGCGGGAGGAGGAGCCCGGCAGAGGGAGGACCGCCCGACTTGGGTCCGCCTGCCCTATCCCACAGACATCTGCTCTCAGTTTCTTCCTCTTTATGGTCGCTACAGATGACAAGGGGAGAGGAGCGGACCGAGGCTGGGGGAGAAAAAAAGTTATGTCATAAAGATATAAACCATAAAGGTGACTCACCTGCTCTTAGCCGCAGGTACGAGTTTGTGGCAGCGCCTCCGCTCTGCTAGCCAGGAGCTCAGGTCGGCCTAACGTCATTTGGCTCGGCTGACTCAGATGGTCGGGTTTCTAGTGACGAAGCAAAAGTGGGGCTTTTTTCCCTTTTCTAGTCTGAAGCCCAGAGGAAAGAAAAAAAAAAATATCTGTATTCTCCAGTCTCCTGGGGTTGAACTTTGAGTCAGGAATCAGGAAGGAGGGGGAAGGGAGCAGGAGGGGCGCGAGACTGGGACACAGTCGGAGCTCGGAGGGTGGCCAGTACCTCTGGGGAGGAACCCCGGTGTCACTTAGCCCACAAGGTCTCTAAGCTCGGGCTCCGACGCCACCGCCCCCGGCCTTCTCTGGCTGCGAGATTCCCATCCAGAGTCCTAGCCAGCCTGCCCGGCCCCGCCTATTTTTTTCTTTTTCCAAAGGGGGTTACACCCCCTCCCACCCCATTTCCCTCTTTCCCTAGCCTCCGGGCTTAAACCAATTACACTGCTTTGCAAACAAAGTGAGGGCCGGGCTTGGGGGAGGGGGCTCAGGGGAGGGGGCGCGCGGCCGCAGCGGCGGCGTGGCGGGGCGGGAGGCGCGGCGGCCGGACTGGCAGGCGGCCGCCTTGCAGGTGCACCTCGGGCTTTGTAGGTGCGAGCGTCTTTGTGCGGCGGACAAATGGGGAGAGGACGAGGAGGTGGGCACTCGAGCGACGTAAGATCCACATCAGCTCAACTGCACTCGCCTCGCAGAGGCCGCCCGCTCACTTCCCGCGGAGGCGCTCCCAGGCGCCCCGCTCCGCGGCAGCCGCCTGCCCCCTGCGCTGCCCCCGCCCGCGGCGCCGCCGCCGCCGCCACCGCGCACGCCGCGCCCCGCAGCTCCGGACTTGCTCTTCGCCCGGGTGGCGTTGGGCCGGCGCGGGCGCTCGGGTGATTGCAGCGGCTCGGCTCCCCTCCCCCGCCCCGCGCCGTGCAGCGCGGCCGCCCGTCGCTTCGCACAGGGCTGGATGGTTGCGTCGGGCTGGGTGGCTCCAGGATGTTAGGGACTGTGAAGATGGAAGGGCATGAGACCAGCGACTGGAACAGCTACTACGCGGATACGCAGGAGGTGAGAGACTAGGAGAGGCGGGCGGCGGGCAGGGACCCCCTGGAGCCCGTGTCGGGGGAGGCCGGGGAACGGTGGGTGCCGGGCAGGGCAGGCAGGAGGGCCGGGGGAGCCTCCTCGGTGCCACCGCTACCTGCCCGCTGATGTGGCCCCGGCCGGGCCTCGGCCGGGCCTGGAAGCGGGACCTGCTGCCCTAGTCTGTCCCGACTCTCGCAGCCGGCGAGAGAGTTTTAGGAAACTCCAGGCTTTGAAAACAGCGGCTCTGGGAAGCGCTTGCCTCTTCCCAGCGGAGAGGGGGAGCGGGAGCCGGGCCCAGGGTGTCGCTGGCGGGAGAGCGCGGGCGCGAGTTAGAAGCAACTCTAAGAAAGCCGGAGCACGCCCGCAAGGCGACCTCTTCCTCCCGTCGTTTAATTCAAAGACCTCTTCTAATTAAAGCGCCCTGCAGCCAAGTTGAGTGTCTCAATAATGAAACGATTTCTAAATTTCGTAAAACTTGTTCTTCAAAAGCCCTGTTTGGGGAGTAGTGTGTTTCTTTTTCTCTAAAACCGCTGGGTGGCGCTAGTGCGACCAGCATCTTCTTTAGAACTCCGGGCCCAGAACCTGTTTCTCTTCATTGTTCCCTTAGTGGCACGTTCTTGGGGTTTATTTTACAATGTGCATAAAAGGATTACAGGGAAAACCAGGTACAGGCAGAACTGCCACCTATTAAAAGTATTTTTGTGGAAACAGCTGGCGATTACCCCCCAAAAGTTTACCGTTATTGAAAACCCGTATTGGAACTGCCTGGGATAATTTTGGGAAGAGAGAAAGAAAATAAAACCCCAAGGTAAAAAATACTTCTAAGACGTGGACAGAAAAATATAGAATCAGGTAATATTTTGATGGTAACTAATTTATTTAGATTCATATATTCACAAATTTACCTCTGAGTTTATTTGCATACCATAGTTTAGTGGGTGTTCCTATTTAAATCTATTCTCCTGTTTTCAAAAGGGCTCATATTTGCTGATGAAAGTAAACTTAAGGACGTAATTATTCCTTATTAAATTATTAGAGGAGTACTTTTTAACATCCCTAGGTTCTGTATTTTTAAAATACTATACCTAATGCTTCCCCACATTGCTATGGATAAGGATTTTCGCTTGTTGATGATTTTAAAAAGAGCTCAGAGGTCTCAGAGGTTTAATTCTGATGTAGTAATCTCGACCCCACCATTCTATCAAGACCTCTATCGAAAAGTGTTTTCTTACATGTTAAAGCTGAGAATTAGCAAATACAATAGCATTAAGAAAAAATAAGTAGAATTTGATTTTAGAATTTTAAATTATTCAAGACTACTCACGGAGTTTCAAAATCCAGGCATTGAAATCATCATCAGCAATATATCAATATGGGGAAAAAATGATTTGTTTTGACAAACTGTGTCACCAAATTTTTCAAACAGGGGACTGTGAAGTGGTGACAAAATTAATGCAAGTTTCTGAATAGCTTGCAGAGGTGTACAGGTAAAGTCACGTTAAAATCAAAAGTATATAGCACGTTGAAATTATTATGGCACCCTCTCCCAGCCCTTTCTGTTTTTAGTTTTATTTTTCCAAAACTTATTTAATTTCTGAGTTTGCTTCCCTTTTAACATTACAGTTGCTACAGGTAGGTAGAAAACACTACTTCTAAATATGATAAACAACAAAAAGTCACCAAAGGCAATAAACTCCTAGGACAGTAAAGCCAGTTGTAGGGAAATAAATGATTCAGGGGGTCCCACGTCCATAGATGATTTGCTCTATCAGGGAGTTTCATTAACAGCCTCCTAGAACAACCGAAACCGCTGTGTGGTCAGCCAGGCCTACAGACTCAGGCGAAGAGGGCGTGGAGTTGGTGGTTCCCTGTGGTCCACCCCAGTGGGCTTGTGACGTGGAACCCATTGCACCCTAAGGGTGAAGTGAATAAGCGGAGGGTCAGAGATTAATTCTATTTTTGGAGTTTTAAAGACGATTTGCCCCAAAGAGCTCTTTGCTGAGGCTGGTTGGGGTGGATACTTAGGATACCGCCCGGTGTGGATGGAGGAGGCGATGAAGGGGTCCTGGAAGCCAGCCCCTGAGCCTGGCATGTAAGGCGATTACACATCTTCCTGGGGACATACTTTCTGTGAGCGCTTATCTTTTCGTGCCTGCCATGCTAGGATTTTCCCCGTGCTGTGCGAGACGCCTTTGCTCAGTCTGGGGAGGGCGCCTAGCCATTTTCCCGGGTGGGGGTGTCTCGTGTTCTGCAGAAATGCTCTGCACTTGCCCCCGTGTTCGCTGCGGGCGGCAGCCCTCCTGCGCCCACCACTAACCCCGCCCTCCGGGGCCTCTTCACTCGCTGTCTCCGCTCCAGGCCTACTCCTCCGTCCCGGTCAGCAACATGAACTCAGGCCTGGGCTCCATGAACTCCATGAACACCTACATGACCATGAACACCATGACCACGAGCGGCAACATGACCCCAGCGTCCTTTAACATGTCCTATGCGAACCCGGGCCTGGGGGCTGGCCTGAGTCCCGGCGCGGTGGCCGGCATGGCGGGGGGCTCGGCGGGCGCCATGAACACCATGACGGCAGCCGGGGTGACGGCCATGGGGACGGCGCTAAGCCCCGGCGGCATGGGCGCCATGGGCGCGCAGCCGGCAGCCTCCATGAACGGCCTGGGCCCCTACGCGGCTGCCATGAACCCGTGCATGAGCCCCATGGCGTACGCGCCGTCCAACCTGGGTCGCAGGAGCGCGGGCGGCGGCAGCGACGCCAAGACGTTCAAGCGCAGCTACCCGCACGCCAAGCCGCCCTATTCGTACATCTCGCTCATCACCATGGCCATCCAGCAGGCGCCCAGCAAGATGCTCACGCTGAGCGAGATCTACCAGTGGATCATGGACCTCTTCCCCTATTACCGGCAGAACCAGCAGCGCTGGCAGAACTCCATTCGCCACTCGCTGTCCTTCAATGACTGCTTCGTCAAGGTGGCGCGCTCCCCGGACAAGCCCGGCAAGGGCTCCTACTGGACGCTGCACCCGGACTCCGGCAACATGTTTGAGAACGGCTGCTACTTGCGCCGCCAGAAGCGCTTTAAGTGCGAGAAGCAGCCGGGGGCCGGTGGGAGCGGGGGCGGAGGCACCAAGGGCGGCCCTGAGAGCCGTAAAGACCCCTCGGGCGCCGCTAACCCCAGCACCGACTCGCCTCTACACCGGGGGGTGCACGGAAAGGCTGGCCAGCTAGAGGGCGCGCCGGCCCCTGGGCCCGCCACCAGCCCCCAGACTCTGGACCAGAGTGGGGCGACTGCGACAGGGGGCGCCTCGGAGTTGAAGACTCCAGCCTCTTCATCTGCACCCCCCATAAGCTCCGGGCCCGGGGCGCTGGCCTCTGTGCCCCCCTCTCACCCAGCACACGGCCTGGCTCCCCACGAGTCCCAGCTGCACCTGAAAGGGGACCCCCACTACTCCTTTAACCACCCGTTCTCCATCAACAACCTCATGTCCTCCTCGGAGCAGCAGCACAAGCTGGACTTCAAGGCATACGAGCAGGCACTGCAGTACTCGCCTTACGGCTCTACGTTGCCCGCCAGCCTGCCTCTTGGCAGCGCCTCAGTGACCACCAGGAGCCCCATTGAGCCCTCAGCCCTGGAGCCGGCATACTACCAAGGTGTGTATTCCAGACCTGTCCTAAATACTTCCTAACCCCCCGGGACTGGGGGGTTCGTCTGGCATGGCCATGCTGGTAGCAAGAATGAAAAAATTCAACAGCAAACAAAACACAAACCAAACCGACAACAGCATAATAAAATCCCAACAACTATTTTTATTTCATTTTTCATGCACAACCCTTCCCCCAGTGCAAAAGACTGTTACTTTATTATTGTATTGAAAACTCATTGTGTATATTACTACAAAGACAACCCCAAACCAACCATTCTTTTCCTGGGAAGTTTAATGATCCACACGTGTATATATAAAATTCGCCTCCTTCCTTGCCCCCCTCCCTTTCTTCCCTCTTTCCCCTCCAGACAACATTCTAGTCTGTGCAGGGTTATTTAAAACAAAACAAAACAAAAAAGGAAGATGGTCAAGTTTGTAAAATATTTGTTTGTGCTTTTCCCCCCTCCTTACCTGACCCCCTACCAGTTTACAGGTCTGTGGCAATACTCTTAACCATAAGAATTGAAATGGTGAAGAAACAAGTATACACTAGAGGCTCGTAAAAGTGTTGAAAGACAATACTGCTATGTAGCAAGACATAAACAGATTATAAACATCAGAGCCATTTGCTTTTCAGTTTACATTTCTGATACATGCAGATAGCAAATGTCTTTAAATGAAATACATATATATTGTGTATGGACTTGATTATGCACATGCTCATATGTGTAGACATCCTTCGTATATTTACACAACATATAGAGGTAATAGATAGGTGATATCATGATGCATTCTCAAGAGTTACTTGACTGAAAAGTTACAAGGACCCCAACCCCTTTGTCCTCTCTACCCACAGACTGCCCTGGGAATCAATTCCTCAGGAATTGCCCTCCAGAACTCTGCTTCTTGATTTGCAGAGTGCCATCCATGGTCATGTCATTCTGAGGTCACATAATGTGTAAAATTAGCTTCTATGGGTGTGTACCATTTAAAGAATATTTTCTTCCAGAAAAATGGAATATTATGATGTTGGAGGAGAGATAAGTTATAGGGAGCCGGATTTCAAAACGTGGTCCAAGATTCCAAAATCCTATTGATTGTGGCCATGTTAATCATTGCTATCATGTGCTTGTTTCATCCAGTGTTAATGCACTTTCCACAGTTGGACATGGTGTTAGTATAGCCAGACGGGTTTCATTATTATTTCTTTTTGCTTTCTCAATATTAATTTATTGCATGGTTTATTCTTTTCCTTTACAGCTGAAATTGCTTTAAATGATGGTTAAAATTACAAATTAAAATGTTAATTTTTTCAATGTGATTGTAATTAAAAGTATTTTGATTTAAATAACAAAAATAATACAATATTTTAAGCCGTGGAAAATGTTCTTGATCATTTGCAGTTAAGGACTTTAAATAAATCAAATGTTAACAAAAGAGGATTTTTGTTATTTTTCTTCACTTAACTAAATCCGAAGTGGATATTTTAAATACGATATTTTTCAAATTCTAGAACTGAATATAATGACAAAAACAAAAATAAAATTGTTTTGTTTTTGATTTTAACGAATGTCTATCTAGTAAAAAGCAATGAAAGAAAATCAAGTAAAGTGCATAAATTGAATTAATACTCCAAGAATTGAGATTTTTATGATTCTTTGTTCCCAGTGATGTTTACTTCATTTTTTTCTCACACCGGCTTAAGCCTTCTGTGCTTCCTTTGAGCCTTTCCACTACAAAATCAAATATTAATTTAACTACCTTTCCTCCTCCCCCAATGTATCACTTTCCTTTATCTGAGAATTCTTCCAATGAAAATAAAATATCAGCTGTGGCTGATAGAATTAAGTTGTCTCCAACAGCGACTCCTGAACCCTCTTCTCATTAAAAGAGAAACAAAACTTAGCCATCAGGGTAGCTCTGGAGGAGGTGGGAGGAGGGGAGTTAATTCGCTCTGGCAGGGGCAGCGTTGTGCCGACAAGACAATTTAGGTTGGCCCCTATTTTGCATTTTGTGAAGAAATTTTTAAAATTTTTATTCAAAAATATCTTACCTAAGTACTTAAAGTTGATTATTTGTTTGCCTTCTAAGGACTTTTAAATGCAACGTCACACCCCTTAGTTGCTTGGGATCACAAAATGAGTAATCTCCTTTGATAGCAGGCTCCCTTTCCAGTCCACCTATTTCTTTGTAAGTCTTGTTCGGATTGACATCAACAATAACAACACCAGCTCAAGCAGAGGCCGGCCTGCCTGAGCCCTTGTGTATGAACTCCATCCTCACCAGGGCTTGAACTTGGACAGCCTTTACTTTGATCGCCCCACTCGACACCGGGGACAAGATAAAAAGAGCTGTGTGAGTCGCTTAATTATAGCGTAATTGCCTTCCCAGATGAGAGAAAGGGTGCCATGTAGCACTTGAGAAAAAACCAGAAATCCCACACCCCAGCTCACTTCAACTAATGAAAGGAGGAGATGAGGGAAATTACTAGTTTGAGTAATTTCAAACCCTGGTTTGGAGGCCTCGCAAGGACATTAAAGTCCCCAAGAGAGGAAAAAGCTTCCAATCCCAACCGTTACTCATATTTACATAAGGTAAACAAACGTTGGCAAATTCAGCTTCCAAATGTAATATAAAGGCGTGGGCTTAGGCCTGGGAATCCCGCCCCCACTGAATCTAAGATGTCTAACTTCTGTGCTGTCCCCTTTCTCATTTTCAACGTAAAAGAAACATCAGTGCCTTGCCTTCACCCCACAAAGCTTAAGCTAGCCTTAGTTCTTGCTCTCTTACTTGCCGGAGACTTTTTCTAGTTAAGCGGTGAAGGGGGCACTTTGGAGGCCTGCCTCGGGAGTTGGGCTGCGGGGAGGCTGCAGGCTCAGCCCTACCTCGCGGGCTTCTCGCGGTTCTCAGATCGCACACTCAGCCACCTCTGGGCGATGCGACCTGCCGCCCGCGCGTTACGACGCGCGCGGGTTGGCGTCCAGGACAGCTGGTTGCCAGGGAAGGCGGACAGAGCAGGACAGCAAGCATCTCGAGGTGACAAGTGCAGTTAGTTCTTCATTGTTTGGGCATTTTCCCTTCCAAGCGAATAAATCTCCTGTTGAGCCCGGGACCTAAAAGTCAACAAAGAAGGCCAGCCGCCTCGTTACGGCTCCAGCGGCCCCGGCTGCCCGCGTTACCGCGGCTGCTCCCGCTGCGTAATCCCTTCCTCGGAAACCCCAACACACAAACGCCCGGGCGCCCGGGTCGGGGCGTTCCGGCCCAGGGCCAGGAGGAAAACATCTGTGGTTCCGAGGGAGTGCGGGGACCCTCCCCGAGAGCGCCGCCTTTCTGCCACGACCCACCCCATCCACTTTTCGTCTCGGTGTTTCCACATTTCTTCACCTCGCCAGCTCTTGAAGACCAGGGCCGGAAAGGGCCTGCTGACCGCCCCGCCGCGTTGTCCCGCTCGCAGGATTTAGGAATTTCGCCCGAGAGGGGGAGGGGTCCTCGGAGAGGGGAGGGAGGGGGCGGGGAGGGGCGAGGAGGGAAAGCGTTCCTCCCGACCCGAGTGTACAGCTCCGGAGGCACTCGGATCCACCAACGCCATCGAGAAAACACTTCCAGAAAAAAAGGAAAAATAAATGTTTTGGGAGTGTCAGGGGAGGAGAGCTGCAATTGTTACTCTCACCTTGCGTTTGGGAAGCGCAGGTCTGAAACATTTTTAAGGTGATAAAAAGAGAACCAAAGATAGGAAAGAAGAAAAGCTCATCGGTTCTATTCAGCAAAAACTAAACAACTCTCAAGTGTTCACAAGTAGAAGGAAGCTCCGTCCATTTTCTACATGATGACTAATACTGTGTTTAAATCAAAGACAAAATTTAATTTCCATTGTCCCTTTGTGATCCCCCTTATACAGATTAAACTGGTGAGAATTATTAGGGAAGGAGGGATTAAAACAAACAAGATCCTATTAAAGCTCCTAACCTCTGTTTTCATTTTCTGAAGGCTAGATACCTGATTGATTTCACTGTAAGTATAAAACACATTATTTTTATCAGAAGTCTAACAGATTTGAATGAGCCATGACAGAAAAGAAGTCCTGAAGTGATAAAAATGTAAGCCCTTGTTTTGGCATTTTGAAAAATTGGTCTCAATTCCACAAACATGCTTATTAAGTTTTTTTTTTTTTGCAAAAAACTGCTGAGATCAATACAAATTCCTTTCAATGTGAGCCAAAGTAGGAGACCTGTAGCCCAAATTAATTAACCTTTCCTCAAGATCAATTGGCTTTCTGTTGATTTAGCAGTAATATTGTAGAACATTTAGCTATAATGTATTTTAATGTGATACCTCAATGTCAAGAGGAAAAAATGTGTTGAAAAATAAAATTGCTTAAATAATTTAATATACATTTTATACATTTGTAAAAAATATTTTGCCTTCAAAAATTAAATAATTGTAATAAAGTGTGCTTTGCAACCAAATGGAGTTAAGAACATGCCTAATTACTCCAAAATAGTTATATGCAAAAAGGTGATTGTTTTAAAGATACCTAGAACTAAATAGGTAATCAAATTATGCTGAAATTGAAAAACAAAATTTTCTCAAACTAAAAGAATCGTTAGAATCAACTGATCCTCATGAGAGTAAAAATGTAAGAAAATGAAATGAAAAAACGTGAATATTTCACAATATTCCTGTTTATAAATAGAATCTATTTGGAAAGGTAAAGGATTTTTTAAAGTAGCCACTTATGCAAGTTTTATTCTCATCCACGATGTTATTTAGTGCATCCAAATAACTTTTAACAACAGATTACCTTAAATCTTCTGTTTTTTTTCTTCCAAATAGTTAAGTTTGGGGGGATAACAGCCCCACTGGCTTTTCTCTTTTTAGCCCCAGCCCAGCGTGGTTCTTTGAACTTTGGCCAGCTGGGAGTGCAGCCCTCAGCTTTTTGTTCTCCACCATCATTTTACCAAGCAATACGGGGCTGGAAAATACTCGTGTCGTTCAATTTCAACTTGTAAAATGCATGCATTTTCCTATTATAAACATTTAAAAACACCCGACAAGGGAAAAATCCTCACTTGCCACCTTTCTTTTTCTATTTAACTTCCTTATTTCTTCAATTACCTTAGCTGTGACTACACTGTAAGAGCAAAGCGCATGGTGAGAGTGAGCTCACCCTTGCAGCCCCGGGAAATAAAGAGCCCTCCTTCTTCTAGGTGCCACTCTGTGATCTTTTGGGGTTCCCTATGTTCCAGTCAACCTACAGGACAGAGGCAAGATATTCTCCCTCAATATCCGGGAAGGAAAGGGCTTAAGTACAATCGTGCTGGAACACATCAGAATCCAGGTGGAACGCAGGTCAAGTCACTAGCGAAATCAAGTTAAGAACCAGGCCAGTGATACCCACGGCAGGCCTGACTCAGAGTTTAGGTGTGAGATTGCCTTGGTTTGACTTTTACGTCTCTTAACACCCGTTCAAGATTACAAATCGGGGGCTTTTTCTTTTCTTTTAATTTCTGGAACCAAGAAAAAAACAACGTGGAAATTCCCCCCAAAGCATTGCTTGGAAATACGGAACAATGAATTAAATTGGAAACCTCCTTAGTCCCCCTCTCCCCCTCCACACCTTTAAAAAGGAGTATATTTGTTACTCTTTTGCTTGCCAGCTCATATCCCGGGTCAGTTTTTTGGTTTCTCTCTCTTACACTAAAGGATTGTTTTAAAACACAAACAATTTAATGAAAAGACTGTAAGGGGCTTTGCGGCGGTTTGTATCCTTTGTATGTTTAATTTTAAAGGTCCATTATGCCCGAGGGAGGAAGAAGGTGCTCGCCTAGTCCCTTGCTCCAGGAGAGCGAAATTTCTTTGCCTGATTCAGGTGATTGGGATATTATTGGAACGTTCCCCTAGCTCTGGGTCCCACCTGGGGGACTTTGTGCCTCACTACCGCAGTCCAGCTATACACTCGTAAACCAATTGCGGCTCAACCCTGGGCGCCAACTCCCGCTGCTTCCTCCACAGCTTTTCGTAGGGGGAGACCGATTCAGGAACTCAAGCTGCAATGAGCCGTGTTGTAGCGCAGGGCCTCGTCCAGGTTTTCTCGTCTCTCCCTGGAGTCACACCGCCTTCTGCTGACACGCGCTTCCTTTGTGTCATGCCTGGCTAATATATTAATGGGGCGGATAACCCGGACCCTTCGAGGAGGGGAGGAGGGGACTGGAGATGGGAGGGCAGCGAAGGGAACCGAACAGCTCTGGTTGCTGACCCTTGGGCCAAAGAGCCCTTGGGCTGACCAGGGATGGGGGAGCGAATCGAGGAGGGGAAAGTTCACATTGGGAGCACTAAAAGTAAACTTAAATGCCTGAAACAAGTTTTAGAAAAGGTGACCTGATGCCAATGCGCGGTCCTGAGCACGAACTGCGCAGCCAGACACTGCGGATGCTCCAGAAACTGCCCCTACGGCAGAGAGGGCTGCGCGCCTGCAGCGGAGTGTCCGCACCGCCCCCCACCCCGGCCACCACCCCCGCGGCCAGGAGCTCCGCCGCGCTGTGCTGTGTGCAGAGTCACAGGTGAAAAGTCCTAACTGCGTGTCGCACGAAGGCCACTCGCGGAGTGCACACCTTCTCGGACGCAGGCTCATCAAGCTCTAGCCGAGCCAGCCACCTTAGATACTGGGTCCCAGTGCCAAAAAATAAAGACCGGCCCGCTCCCTGCCCTCAAGGAGAAGCCACCTTTCCCCACCCTCACCCCCAAAGGGTTTTGCGGCCTCCCAGTCGGAGGTCTTCACCCATCAGCCACACAGGTGGATCCCCTGCACTAAGCCAGGTGGGCGGGAGGCACTGCAGATCCCTGCCGCGAGGCCTGAAGC